TTAGCAATCTAATATAACAAGTAAATGAGAAACAGTGCCTTGAAAGGGTTCAGTTTAATTTTATAGGTTAGATGTAGCCTACGACACCGGCTCTGGATTGGCAGCAGAAAACCTCAAAATCCAGTTTTTATGAGTTGAATGCCTGTTGAAGCTTCTTGTTCATGGCATTTTTTGTGAACCAAAATGATTTGGTGGTTTGTTTGTTTTTTGTTTTTTTTTTCTTTTAAATAACACTTTTCAAAGAATTTAAAGGGCCGGTATTCTAAGAAATACTGAAATGCTTCTAGACTATGATCTTTAGGTATCATTGTTTGCACTGACAAAGGCTGTTTAAAGTCACCTGTTGTCTTCAGGACCAGATTCTTGGCTTATTTTGCCAGGAAATCTGTGAGCAAAGTACCAGGCTGATACTGCCTCTCCAAAAATGGGATGTTCACATTTGGAGGAGGTAGACAGTAGGAAGCAGTGATAGGAGAAAGGTAGATCATGCTGTGTGGAGTTGTTCTTTCAGGCAATTTTATGTAGCCACAGAATACAATGACTGCCCTCTATAATGGTATTCACGCTACTTTATAAAAATATTTTTATGTTTTGTCATTAATCATTAGGCATTTTTCAGTATAATCACCAAAAAAAAAATACCATGCTCAAAATTCAATATATTCTGCTGATGACACAAAACCTTGAATGAAATCTAAATCTCATCCTTTAACTGAACCCTGCTATAATAATACATATAGAATTAAAAAATTATTTATTTTTTTTAAAGAAAGTAATTTAATTTGATTCTGAAAGCACAGATGAGGACTCTGCATTACAGTGTGATGTTTTCTGCATAATCACTTTTATATTCATAATGTGTCTGTGGTGTTTTGAATTTCAGTGATGAATTTATCTTGAAGTTGGTATGTAAGTGAACATTTCTGGTACAAGAAGGGACGATAATGTGAGTCTCTGGGCTGCTCCATTCCCACATAGAATCATACAACCATAGAATCATAGAATGGTTTGGTTGGAAGAGACCTTAAAGATAATCCAGTTCAACCCTCCCTGCCACAATAGCGTGCTCAGAACCCCATCCAAGATAGCTTTGGACACTTCCAGAGATGGGGCATCCACAGCTTCTCTGGGCAACTTGTGCCACTGCCTCACCATCCTCACAGCAAAGAATTTCTTCCTAATAACTAAACTAAACCACTCCTCTTTCAGTTTGACACCATTATATCTTGTCCCATCATTTCAAGCCCTTCTAAAAAGTCCCTCCAATTTTCCTGAGGCAGGTAGGAGAGGGCTGTTGTAAGGTGTTTCTGAAACCTTCTCTTCTCCAGGCCAAACAACCCCAGCTTTCTCAGCCTGTCTTCATGGGGACAGTGCTCCAGCCCTCTGATTGTTTGGGTGGCCTCCTCTGGACTTGCTTAAACAGACCCGCGTCCTTCTTATGCTGGGACCCCCTGAGCTGGACACAGCACTCCAGCTGAGAGCAGAGTGGAGGGGCAGAGTCCCCTCCCTCACCCAGATTTTGGTGCAGCCCAGGGTACGGTTGGCTTTCTGGGCTGCAAGGTCACATCAAGCTTCTCATCTTCACCCCCAAATCCTGCTCTCAATCCATTCTCCAGCCTGTGTCAGTGCCTGGGATTGCCTGGACCCAGGTGCAGGACCTTACACTTGGCCTTGTTGAGCTTCATAATGTTCAAACTCCACATGCCTTTTAAGGTGTCTGTAGATGGCATCCCTTCCCTCCAGTGTCCACACAGCTTGGTGTCATGGGCTGTGGGTGTGCTCAATGCCACTGTCTGTGTCCCAAGAACGATGTTGAACCACACCAGTCCCAATACTGATCCCTGAGGAACGCCAGTCGTCAGTGGTCTCCACTAGAAAATCTACCCATTTAATATGACTTTTTCAATGTGACCATGAGCCATTTCTTTATCCACCAATTCATCAAATCCATGCCTCTCCAGAAGCGATGTGAATGCCTGTGTCCCTTATGACGTTGTCTGGTACATATCCATGTACAAGTGCTGTAGCTAATTTAACAGCCCAAGGAGTGATATGTCTGCATTCCTTGGGGTGGAATCATTAGCACAGGTAAATCTCTCTGCTGCARCCAGCAAATTTATTTGACACGCAGTTTATGATCTAGTAGATGTAAATGTCTGCCGTGAAACCGATGATGGATGAAGGAAGAGAGCAACTTATCTCACAAGATTTCCAGYTGGGATAGAAATAATCTATCTTGCRAAATGTTGACAAGTTCACTTCTAATCTTAGTTAGAAAATTGAGGCTGGAATAGATAGTGCTGAAAAATAATGGAGTGAAAATCTGTTCTAACTTTTCAAAGCATTTCCTACATTCATTCTTAACTTGCTACAAAGTGCTTAGGGAGTTGCAGAGCTATTCAATCACTTTCATATTAACAGAAAAGCCCCATGTGCACAGATTTTCTATGAACTATTTCCTGTGCTAAAGAGAATTTTTGGCTATTACTGTCTGTGTAAAGTAGTTCACTGTTTGGAGATTTATTTAAGTGTGAGAGAATCTTAATGATTCTGAACAGCTTTGCCTTTGTGCCTCTTACAGTGTCACCTTTCTGACACTTTTGATGGAAATAAAGAGAACACACAGCAAACAGCCCTCAGCCTTCTACACTACTCACCTTTTTAAAAACTGGGTCTTGTAGAGCTGCAAATGTAGGTCTACAAGAAGAGTCATCAGGATAGTATTGATCTATCCCAGGAGGATATGAAAAGGTTTATAAAACATGTATTTTAGGGTTTATGAAGAAGGTCTAAGGTGTAGCTTTGAAACAATAGCAGATGAGAGATGAAAAGTTTGTGAAGATTATGGTATTGTGACAACAACACCACAGCCTCAGGTATTTCCCAAGAGCAGATTATAATCCCACTTTTTTTTTTTTTTTTTTTTTTTTTTTTAATAAAATCTGTTCTACTTGTAGTAGGAGATGCTGAAAGTCAGTACAGTCAATGATCTTAAACTGACATTTAAAACAGTGTGAGAAAGTCTAATTATGGCCAAGATCACAGGGTAAAAATTTTGTTCCAATTCTGTTATTTCCAAGAGCCAATGGAAATGCAACAGAGCTACAAAATTCCTCAGTGACTTCCAGAAATTCTTGGTGTTTATTTTGTTGATTCAACATCATAGAATTTATGTATCTTGAAATAAGGACATCATACCTGAATTTATAATAAAAATGGAAGGAAAAAATAATGTCTATTCAATAAAGAATTGCTTAAAATTAGGGGCAGGAAAGCATTTCAAGGAGGTATGAAAACTGTCTCCAATATTCATTCAATTTCAGAAAACTAGGTGAAACAAGAAAATTAATGTTTTATGAAAAATTATGATTTAGTAGTAATACAGCTCCTACAAAAGAAGCTGTAGTCAGATTTAATCCCATAGTGTTTTATATAAAGAAAAGGTCACTATAGTATTTTATATTATACAGTTCTACATAAAATCTTTTCATTACACGTCCTTGTATAATTTTAAATAAATGCTTGCCAAGCCCAAAATATCAAAAATAAGCAAAAAAATTCTTTTAAATTCCTTTAAATATTTGAAGTATGAAATTTCCATTGGAAAAATATTTTCTGTCAAAAAAAATTCTAAGGGACATATAATTTCAATGCTTCTGATTGTTAAAAATGGTCAGATTTGGAGTTTTTATTCGCTTTATGTGAACTAAAAATATCCAGTCAATAAGCCTAAGGCTTTTACTAAATTTTTTGAGGTCAAAAATAATAAATAAAAATGATTGAGCTTTTAGCATCACTGCATTAGTGTTTCTTCCTACTCCTACACCTCATCTTTCTGCTTCTCTTTTCCCTCTTTACACTCAATTTCAGGTCTGAACATAGACTTTACCAAGAACATGTGCTTTCTTGAAAGTCTCGACCACCACGTGGCTCCATATTTAATGGGTTATGATGTTCTATCACAGCAATTTTACACTGAAATAATTCCAATGATTTTGTTGTCTTATACTCTTTTCTTTATATTATTGAAGCTGAGAAGGGATTTAGCTGCAGCATCCCTCAGATTGCATGAAATTTGTTTCCTAACCAGAAGTTTCATTCCAGCCATGTGATTTGTTGTAATGTCGACTTTGCAGCATTCAGTCACAGTGGAGAAGATCTTTAATATAGATTTGTGTTTAAGCAGAGAGATTCCTAAGCTCAAGAAAGTATTCTCCACAAAAGGGTCTGTGCTTCTTTTTCTATGTGTGACTGTTCTAGCAAACATAACAAGGGACATCTATCTACTGGTATGTCTTTGAGTGTAGTTCAAATGAAGAGAGAAATTTGAGAGCAAACATTGCTAATGTCTATAGATTCTTGACTTTTTATATATATTTCAAGGCTAAATTTGCAGGTAGGATATAAGTGAACTTTTGAATTTCTCATAAGATTTCTGATCTTGTTGAGAATAATAAGTATCTTCCTAAGAGAAAGCACTTGCAAAAACACATTTTCTCTTTCTCCAAGGAGAGATGTATTTGAGGTAGGAAATAGACACTCTTATTTATTTTTGAGGAGTTAATTTCTGAGTGGATGGTAAAGTAGCAGTTAAAGATCAGTGTGTATTTCTTCAGATCCTAAAACAAACTCTTCAGAAGAGTTCCTTCACAGCAGAATTTGACTTGAGACCATTGTTTGTTTCACCATCTAATTTACCTCCTGAAGATTCTTCTGTAATGGAAATATGCTGTTGGCTTCACTTAGTAGAAATTTGTGTGTCTAAAAAATTTAATTTCTCTCTGTAAACAACTGATATTTTGTCTAAAATCTTCATGCATAAAAGTAAGAACTTTTTGGAAAATTTCACAGCATCAATACAGAAGAGGTAAAAACTAGTCAGGTGTTTTAGGTATGCTCTCCATTTTCACTGCTTATTACTCATTTTCAGTGACTTGAAGGTGCCTTTACAAACTCGTGGATGTTTGACTTATTGATATAAAATGTTTGCTTTCAGATATCAACATGGCAGGAGAGCCAAAACCATACAGACCAAAACCTGGCAACAAGCGGCCACTTTCAGCACTTTACAGGTAATTGAGATTTCACTTTAACTTACCCCAATACAAATTTTATCAGAAAAAAAACATGCTAATCTAAAATGTATCTACCAGTGGCACTGTGCAATTTTTACCAGAATTATAATAAAGTACACAATAAAATTAGAAATCTGTCTTTTACTGAGTCTACTGACAGAAAGACCTCTGCAGTGATCTAAGTATTTATTAATGCTCCCACTACTAGTACTAATATTAATCTTTTTTTTTTTTTCTTAATTGAGTGCTATTTCAACTTTCAGTCCTTATGATTCAGTGCTTGGCTATGGATTCAATTTTTGTGAATTTTTTTATTTATAGTGATCAGTGAAATAAATAATTTCAGAGCAACAAAACTGATTTCTCATGTATTCTTCTGCCAAGGGCGAGAACCAAGTTCTGACAAAACATGACTTCTCTCTTGGCTGTTCAGGAGAGCATTGCTAGTGTCTTTCTCTTATTCTCAGCTGCCTTTTGTTATAGAGTTTGTACAAACTTGAAGAAACATCCACTTTTTTTTCCAAACCAATTTCATTTAGTAAAGCACTAGAGATTGTTAGGGCTACCATGCCCATATGTATTTCTGCTCAAAAAAYMTYRCTTCTCATAAAAGTACTACAGAATTTATGCTCCAGATCCATGGAAGGAATTAGGGCTCACTTCTGCTGTAGGTGAAATGAAGAGAGCAGCTTGGCAGTGAATTCAGACACACCTGAGCAGTACYTTTTCATGCCTTCTCTGGTYTGAAARCTTCAGATGGAAATTCAAGGGTGGRATCTCAGAATAAGAGGACCAGGAGCATTTTAAGTCTGAGACTCTGTGCTACATAGAAGCAGTTTGAAGTTTTATCATAAAGCTGCCCTTGACTGAAGTGATAGAAGCATTATTTTTGGAGAAGAAAATCCCTGTTTCATCATTACTCTTAACTGCAAGCTGCTAAACTCTGTAGGTGTTCCTGGTAACCTTGGTCTACTCTGTCCTGGTTGCCAGTATTTCAAAAGATTTTGAAAGATGATCTGTGATTTCTGTCATTTATATACATTTCCACCCCTGAGCATTTGAAGGCTTTCTCAAAAATACCTGTTCTACAGAAAAGACAAGGATAAGAGAGAGACCTGTGGAAAATTCTAAAGGAATTTTAAAGAGGAAAAATATCCTAGCTTGTGTCCTTTCATGAATGCAGTGCAAACTATTTCTCTAGAAGATTATGAGGCTTTTTTGAGCAACTAAGATAATCCTTCCCTTTCTGCCTTCATCTTCATTCTCTGTCTCTACTCTGACCTTGTAAGGCCCCACCTGGAGTACCGTGTCCTACTCTGGAGTATTAAGCACAAGAAAGGACTTACAGGGAACTTATAAAATAGAAGGAGAGCATCTTTTTGTATGGGCAGATAGTGAGAACAGTTTTCAYATAAAGAAGAATGATTTAGATTAGATATTAGGAAGAAATTCTACACTCAGAGGGGAGAGAGGCACTGGAAGATGTTGCCCAGGGTAGTTGTGGGTGTCCCATCCCTGGAAATGTTCAGGGCCAGGCTGGATGGGGTCCTGAGCAATTTGATACAGTGCATGGCCTTCCTGCTTGTGTGGGGGGATTGCACCTAGATGACCTTTAAGGTTCCTTCCAAACCACTCTGTTGTTTTATGGTCCCTTCCAACCCAACCAATTCCATGATTCTATGATAATGAGAAATATTTTTATCTCAGTATCTGTTAACCTAATAACATGTGAGAAGATAAATGTCAATGACTAATGAAGTTTTGGCAACACTGAGAACATTTAGTTATTTCAGAACACTGTACTGGGTTTGACTGGGATGGAGGTAACTTTCTTCATCAGATCCCATATGAGTTTTGGATTTGTTACTAAAACACACCAGTGTTTGGGCTGTTGATGAACAGTGTTTACACAGCCTCATGGTTTTCTCCTTTTCCTATTCTGCCCTTGYAATTAATAGRYTTGGGTTGGACAAGARGWTGTGAAGGAATACMTCTGAGACAGCTGATCCWACMTGKCCAAAGAAATATTCTCTCAGATAGYCAGAAATAAAAACTGGGAAGGTTTTTCTTCCAAARCAGCTGTTGCTCAGACACTGCCCTGACTACTTATGGGATTTGAAAAGTAATTGCCTTTACATCACTTGGKWTWTTTTCTTCYTTCTTTCCCTTATTACASTGCAATTATCTCAATCCAKGAGGCTTTTTCACTTTTGGTCTGTTCTTCATCCAGATAGGGGACAATGGTAGGAGAGTGAGACAGTGACTGTGTAAGTCCTTAGCTGCTGGACAGGATCCACCCACAGGACTCAGAAAGTCAAGAGGAGAATGGTTACATTAGATTTGTTTGCACTAAGAGAGTCACTGGTTAAAAATTTAGKTGTCATGAAACAGCCACTGTTAAARGGAAGGACTGTAAGCAGTAGAAATAGGATAATGGATTTCARAAAGGACTGACTTAAATGAGCTCAGAGACCTGGTAAGTAGAAAKATTTTTGTAAAGAAATTTGAGGGACAAAAGGAGTGCAGAAAATCTTGTACTGATTGTGCTTAAGGTAGAACAGAAAATTCTCCTGAAGCAGAAAAAAAAATCTAACAAAGGAATAATATGGCAGCATCAACTTTCTTTAACATTCTAAAAATTGAAAAGGAATTGTACAAAATGTGGAATCAAAACCCCATGTTTGGAAGTAGAAAAGAAGAGCAGAGTCATCCTGCAGGATATCAGAAAGGCTAAAACACATAACAGTATAAAAGGTAACAAAAAGATTGTTGTTAGAGTAACATCCTCTGATTTTCAGTTAGGAGGAAAGGAGAGCAGATAGTATATGATACAGAAAAGTCTTCTTTTACTTCAGCAAAAGTGGTTAGCTGACCAGCTACTAGAGAAAATCAATTTTAACCAGGGGTTATTCAATAAAAAATTAGGCTAACCAGTGTTTGACTAAGTGAATTCATTGGAAATATCAGAYAATATTCACTGCAGTGTGTTCAAAGGACTAGCTGAATCTGTGTGTGCACTATTACTCATAGTTCCCAAAAGTTTATGGGGGTCATGTAAGGTAATGTAACACCCATGGGCAGGTGTTATAACTATTTTTGAGAAGAAGAGATCCAGCAAATTATTAGGTCGGGCTAGATTTGATTCTAAGAAATGTACCAGAACACATTAATAGCAATCAATTTATCAAGACCAAGAAGGTAATGAATTGTTTTAAAAATCAGGATCATATTGTGATGAAGCAATATAATTTCCTTCTTTGACAAGACAACAAATTTAATGCATAAAGAGATGTGCTATATGGTCATTGCTGAGGTTTAGCAGTGACACTCCCAATTTAGGGCACCCCAAGGTTCTCCCAAACCAGATTCTGCTTGCTCACTCCCACTCCTTTCCTTCTCCTTTGCTGCTCCATGGATGAAGTTGAGAATTGGAAGTAGAAAAAGGTGAAAATTACAGTTTGAGATAAGAACAATTTACTGGAAACAGCAATGAGATTTTTTAAAATGGGAACAGTAACAGAAAAAAATATTCATAACAAAATGTATAAGACAAAAAAGTATTTTACATGGAAAGCCCATGACAAATACCAACCATCTTTTCTGCACCACACCACACTTTCTCCCAACTGGAAAAGGAATGCCTTTCTTCCCAGAAGCCGGAGAAAAAGTCCTCTACCCCCACTCCTGGAACTGATGTAAGATGTTATTCAATGTCAGGCTGTAGCGGGCCAGCTCAGCAAAGTGCACATCAGCTCAGCCCTTGTGGGCTCAGCCTCCCCAGTAGCTGGGACCAAGGGAAAACACCACCACACCCAGCTACCGTAAAAAAAAAAAAAAAAAAATCCTCTCCTTGACAAAACTAGGACAGTCATTTAAACAACCTTTGACACTTACTATGTGCAATTTTCATACTCATATTCACGAAATTTGTCTGGAAAAAAACTGTCTTAAGGCAGAAATCCAATGGAAAAAGAATGACTGTGTACAACACAATATTGTGCACAACTGTTATTTGTTCAATTGCCTTTGTTACAGATTTTACATGGTATTTTTGATATGTGAGACATTAAGAACAATTTTAAGATAAGCAAGCAGGAGTGCTGCACAGACTTGCATGATTTTATTTGCTTTGAAGTTCTTGAGGCTTCAAAAGTGTTCAAAGAACTCTGCATCTCTGAAAAGAAGWTTGTGACACATTTATAGCTGGATATACAATAAGTTGTTAATACAGAACAATTGATGTCTATGATGTGTTATGTTCTCATAATTGGCTTGTGTGTCCAAGTCATTAGATTCTTTTTTTTTCCTGTGATGGTAAAAATGGTTACTGAACTCTGTAACAGTTCAGGATACATATTCCTTTATTTTAACTTTTCTAGTTTTATGAACTGTGTGAAAATAATCTCATTTAACCTTACCTRTGTGAAACTTAGCATGAGCCTAAATGGAAGACACATAAATTTTTTTAGATGCAAACCAGATGAATAAATTATAAAAGGACTTTTGATTTTGTTTAGGCCTTAAAAATATTTTGAGAACATTMAGTCTTTGCTTCAGAAAGCTGTTAAAAACATTATTAATATTAAGAATACTCACTGAATATCTTAAAATGTATTTAGAGTATGCTCAGGAATCAGCTAAAATCTAACAYAGCTGTGAGCTCCAGCAGCATTCATCCTAATTTGCATTGCTGTTCAGTATGTGAGTGGGGACCTAAATCCCAGAAGATTCAAAATTGTTCTGAATTTTCTTTTCAGCACAGCACTTCTGCAGAAAATCACATGCTTGAAAAATCTGCATCTTAAAATTGTTTTGTGTCTTGTTATATTGGTTTAGCCGCCAGCAGAAACTAATTTTACTGGCAAATCTTAGTACCTTTGAAACACAAGGTGAAGATTAAAGGTGCTGACACAAATGTGTTAAAGCACTCTTGGGGAGGAATGTTTTGGTAAAATAAAAGATCACACTTTGTCTTTTTAATTTAGTGATGTTTTGAT